CTAACTGGAGGGGGTTTAAGAGAGGTATGGGATAGCGGTAAATCCATCATCACTTCCCCAAAATTTGTTCCAAGATTGTTGGCGGTGTCTCCTTGTAAAATCAAATATGACTCTCTTTCAGAACTTCATACATCTTTGCGTGAAGTACGCTACAGTGAACTTTCCCCGTTTGCAAGTGCAATGGCAGAATACGTTGGTACTCTTATGGAGGCGGCGCGTCTTGGAGAGATTGTGAGAGGGAAAAATGAAAGACTGAGTAAGATACGTCTAGAACATTCATACTATTTAAGCAAGGTGGATGCGTTTGATTCGCGAGCAAGTGAACTTTTGAAAAAGCTGGAAAAGGACCGTGCAGAGGTGAAACAACTGTTGAAACGCTCTGAGGAAATGGATGCAGTGAAAAATGATAGTGGTAGGCGTCAAAGTGCTCTGGCGTTGCTTTCTGACATTGTGGATAGATTTATTCCCTTTCATTCTTCGGAAGACACAGCCACAAGAGAAGCGTTAGAGAAAAAAGGCGAGGGGGCTGTTATCATGGTGGCTGCCCACCGGGCATTTTTTGCCATGCTCCCAAAGGAGCAACAGGTATTACGCTTTCGTCAGCTGCAGTCGCACCTGAATGGCTGGGGAATCGCGGCACCGGAAGAACTTGATGATCCCATTGTCTCATCGCTGTTTCCGAGCGTAAACAACGTTACAAACAGTGCTTTGCTTTCCACTTGTTCCACCTATGAACTTCTCTGCTTGGGTGCGTTACTACAACGGGTGTACTTTCACTGGCCATTTTTTGGTGGTGCGAGTCCGGCTTTCGAGGGTATGTTGAAACACTTCCTTAGCATCATGTGTGGTGGATGTACTGTGGCATCTGCGTTGAGCAAAGGTTTTAAAGAGAGTTTACTCGATGCGGCAAGGACAGGGGATGGATTGTTGATCTGCGATGCCTCTGTCGCATTTGTGTTGCATGAACTGCGTCCCTTGTTGTTGCTTCAGCCAACCCTACGGGAGGCAATAATGCACCAGAAATCGACAAGGGTCGCTCTGTATGGAGAAACTGTGGATGTAAAGTCAACCTTTTACGTGGTGTGCGTTTCTTCATCTATTGTTCCATGTGAAAAATGGGGCGGTATAACGTCGCGTTTCATGAATGTCACGAATTTTCACCTCACATTCGATGTGAAACATTGTGTACAGACAACTCTGCTACAGAGTCCTATAACCAGAGAAGATGTGGGGAAAAAGTACTTCGGGGATTTGTCAGTCGAGGACGGAAATCCCATTGAGACCTTCAATGAGGCTCTACATGAAGCGAATGCACTGCTGTGCGAGGATCTTGATACATTAACGGGGCCCGATAACAGTAAACTTGCACGCCTTGACGTACTCATTAAAGATCTCAGCAATTGCCATGGGCGCGTGTTGCGTCTTAAATCGAATCAAGAGAATGTCATGAGGCAATTAAAGGACACATGGAAATATCTTAAGCAGGGTATCTATTCTGTGGAAAGTGCAATAAGAGTGATTGAGGAGAGTATTCTTGGTAGGCACTGGGAACCACGTAAGCTGGAGCCATTTATCATAGGTGCAAAAGAGTTATTGCGACCCTATCAATCACGGATATCACCACACACTTTTGATGCTCTTCCAGAAGCACACAAGGAATTCTATGCCACGATAAATTTTGTTGAGAGAGTTATACAAGTGCTGGGATGCGGCTGGCCGTGTGAATTCCGTGGGATTTTTGCATGGTATATTCTCTCCAGTGCAATTATTGGCTGCGATCTCCTCCTGCAGCTGCGTGGGGAGGTATATTCCCCATTGACAGTTGTGTTTAATAATGAACAATATAAAGCACTGGATCGCCTAGTGAATCGGGGAAATAATGTCATTGTTGAAGAATATGTGCGTGAAGTATACGCGGCATCTTCCGATTCGATCCTCAAAAATGTATTGCATCAATTCCCAGTGTCAAGCAACAGCACGCTTGATTTTAATAGATGGGGGGAAGAGGGCATTGTTTCTGGGAGAGAGGATGCTATTCGTTGCTTCTTCCATTACTGGTTGAGGTTGGACTACGCAACGTGTGATACGTTAGCATCGCACCTCTACAACGCATTTCTATTGTCTATAAAGGAGCCGAATAATGAGGGATTGAGTGAGATGAACCCGTTGTATGACTACATGGAAAGATCCCCCTCAGACGTTTATTGCCTTGAGGAATGGCTGCGGTTGAGTTTAAGTGCCTGCATTCCACTCTGCGTGGTATCGATGAACGCAAACCAGACTGTAAAACATTACGAGCGATATTTCAAGTCAAAGCTTTTATCCTATCACTTTTGTCATGTTTCCGCTACGGAAGAGGTGGATCAGCTGATGAAGACGGTTTCGGTGTGTTTTTCCGATCGCCCAGAGCAACAAGGACGTGGTCATTGCATCTTGGCCATGTTGACCCCCCCGGAGGATGCTTCCGATGAGGCAGTGTTTGTCCAGTCCTTGTCGACACATCTCTCACGCTACTGTCGATATGGTGTGTGGGAGCCGGTGAGGAATGGAGGTAGAACGCGTTTCCCGGTGCTCTTGTGTTGCGTCTTGTGTGGAGTTCCAGGCAGAGAAACTGACTCACCCAACACAGCGAAGAAAAATAATGCGTGTATCCATATGCTGGAGGAGTGGTGCCTCACTCTCACACACGACACGTCATTTTCGCGATTTTATTTATTTTCCATCCTGCAGGACCAAAATATTTTTCCGCCGTGGGAGAGGGAAGGGACGACGCTCATGCTTGAAGGGCCAGCTTCATTGCGCCCTGGCGAAAACAAGAAGGGCGTTTCTCGTCGAAGCGGTAATCGCACTCCGCCAACCTTTAAAATTGCAAATACAATTGAACTACATACAGGCCTTGTTAGTGGACAGGTTATGCTACGCGACCTGTGGGCGAAGGAGAGGTCTGGTGTTGCCTTCCCCTCACTTTGGCAAGCAACCGTTGACCGGGATGATCTCACTATCATCCTTCGGCTTTTGACCTTGTGGTTGCGAAAAGAGAAAAACACGGAGACTGAATCAAGGAAGGGACGATCGCTCCGCTTGTCAGGCCGGCCGGATAGTAGAGCCCCTCTTTCTGATACTGTTTCCTCCGATACGTCTAAAGCCCAACAGGCTTTACTTGAGAACGTGTTTGCCAAATTTGCATTTGGGATCTATGCAGCTCGCATGACTACTCGCAGGTTCCGATTGGCCGTGAGTGAGGTGCTAAGTCAAAGAGCATCCTTGAATACATCAGAGGGAGGCATCAGGGAAGATGCAAGGAATTTCAGCGTGAGTATTGCAATTGAAGAAGCCTCAAAGGCTGGGCTTTCAGAGACGGGGTTTTTGGCGGAGCTTCGAAATTCACATGAAGACTTTCTTGGCCTTTGTGATGATGAGTCATCCGCTGTGGCGTACCGCGATCTTCTGGATGCTTCTCTCCAGAAAATTATTTACGGTACCTGTGAATCACCCACGTGGACGAGGTTGAAGCATAGCGTGGGTCTGGATCCGCGCAAATCTGACCCGACGGCATATGCAGTGGATTTGAATCAAGCCCCTTCGAGGGATCTCATTCAGTTGCTTTTTCTCTGGGAAAAGGATCACATGGAGGGTCTTCTGTCGGTGTTGCAAGAGAAGGGGCACAATGCAGTCGTTGATCGTGTGCGGGCGGCCATGGGGCAGCTAACTCGTTGGGTGCCTGGAGAGACACTGACCGTGTGGTTGCCCGCTCTGCAGTATCCACGGCTACTACTTTATGCCTTTGCGGCGCGGGCGGTGAGTCGAAAGCTAGATGAATTAAATCGTGTTGAAATGGTGTTGGTCATGTCAAGACGGTACAGTCTCTTGCACGACGATATTATTCTTTTTGGAGCGGCGCCTTCCGATACGCTGGAGCAAGAAGTGCTGCATCGCACGGATTGGGATGCTGCTCATCTTGCGTGGAAGAAGGACGTTGACGAAAAGGACCACGAGGAGGACATTGTCTTAGCTGTGCGGTTTCAAAAGGTTTCCAATACAAATACGGGAGGACAGTCAGGTGATGTGCTGTGGGAGGTGTCTCCGGGCGAAAAACGAGTAGATGTTTCCTCACCTCGTGGAGCCCGAGCCAGCGTCGTGTTTTTGACAGAGACGTCGGCGGGGTCCTCCCTCAAAACATTGGAGATACGATCGACGTGTCCTCTCCCTGTATTGTGCGCGTCTGCTGCAGTAACAGGGGATGGGAGGGAGGTTGAGTGGCCCCTTCTCCTTGACATGCCGCTGCATGTCATATGGAGGGGAACTGATAACCTATGGAAGAGCAGAAAGTCAACTTCTATCAGACGTTACTCGACGTTGGGGGAAGAAGACTCATTAATGCGGTCGACACGAAGATCCATGGTAGATGCGCCTTATTCTGCTCTCAGCAACAGCCTGAGTTTCTTTGTGACGATCTCGTAGTTTTCAACACACGGGCGTGTGCACTGTGCGTTGCACAAGTACATATGTATAAATAAATAACGGTTATTTTTCTGAGAATGTAATGATTTGAATGTACAGAGCCGGCTAAGTATTGTTTTCTTTCCTTTCCCCCCCCCCCCCATTGTTGTTACTATTACGGCTACTGATTGCGGCGAACAGACAAGAAAAGAAAGTGGGGGGAGAAACGACATTCTCTCCATGTGTTTCTTTGTGTGTGTGTGTGTGTCTGGTTTTATTCCTTCTTTGTCTGATAAAATTTATTGCAACCTTTTCTTCTCGCCAGCAAGAAGTGTCATTGATATTAGTGGAAGGAAGGAATATTTATTTATTTATTTTTTGTTGGTCCTTTTTCCCTTTTTAAGTTGTCTTTTTTCTTTTAGGAGGTCAAGACTCTTTTTTTTTTTTACACAGTCATTTTTTTTTTTTTGCTTTTTGTTGTTCTTGTTGTTATTGTTTTGATTTTGCTTCTCCCGGCATTTCTTCTGGTGATTCCCACACCCTTTTTCGGTCGTACGCCGCTGCGTCCTTCACAGGATGGCGTCATTGCGGTCGACACTGCATAAAATTAAAACGGATTTATACGAGGCGGAGACGGCGGGTGAAGCCGCTCAGGCGGTGTTGCAGGCGCTGCCGCGGTGGTTGCCGTGGGTGGGTGCTGGTGCCTGCATCACGGCGTACATTGTGACACTTCGCGTACGACTTTTTATTGCCAGATGGCGCCGTGCCGCACGGCGGCGGGTGGAGCGGAAATATATGGCCATAGGGTTTCTGCATGACTACGCCCAGCCTCAAGGGGAGTTTTTCACGCTTGTTGGGGACGACAATGATGATGACGATGGCGAGGAGGGTGACAATACCGCCCTCACACTTTCAGATATAGAGGAGTTTCGTTGTAGCCTTGGCATTCGCTCTCCGCGCGACGACGACCTCCTGCTGCTGGTGGAAGAGATGCTGCTCGTAGACCCTATTCCCGAGTGTTGGGTGCTGTACCGCACTTCCGCTGGCCTCGTGCGCTTTATGAATGTCAACACACAAGAACTCTTCTTTTTCCACCCCGGCAAGCGGGAGGAGGAGCGGCATATACGCGCAGAACTGAAGCGGCGCAACAATGTCTTTATGGAGGCAAAGTTTAACTTATTGGGCAGCGATGATAAGAGCGGCCGCTTCCCCGGCAGCAATACATCCTTTGCCCTGCGAAGGCAACGCCAGAAGAAGGCTACCACCGCTGGTAATAACTGTAGCGACAGTGTTGGTAGCGGCGGGGCGACATTGAGTTTTAGTGACGACGAGGAGGAGGTGGACGGAAAGGACGAGCAATCAACATTTAGGAGACTTTTTCGCTATTTTGTTGAGCGCGAAGAGCGCAAGATTGAAAGGGATGTAGAGAAGCAGCTTGCTGTGTCGCCTGCCACAGGCAGCGGTCCTATTGGATCCTCTCGTGCAGAGAGTCGGAGCCTGCGCGTGTTTCCAGCAAATGTGGTTCACAGCGGCTCACACACAAAACGTGTCAGTGTCAGCTGACTCCTTTCCTCTCTCTCCACCGTGCGTTTTTACCACCGCTGTCTTGTGGCGCTGTGGTGGCTGTGTTGCCACGTTTTTGAGGCCCTCTTTTTGGACGTTTGCCAAAGAATACAAAGTTCTTTTGAAAAATCCCGCCAAAAAGCCTAACAACTGTACAATTATGTAGTGAAGCAGGAGTACGGGGAGGAGAAAGCGAAGCAAAAAAGAAACAACAACAGCACAAGAAGAAAAAAAAAACAACAACGAAAAAACAAAAGATATAACGAGTGCGGGTGGGCTAGTGGGGAGGCAATTTGTACAGCCCAACCCTCAAAGTATCCAAAGGTCACCTGCAGTATGAACAAATAAACAGGAGGTTGGGGAAAAACGAGCAAAAAAAAAAAAAGAACGAGTTTAGCGGTGGATGAGGGAGGTTGGATAGGTGCGACAATAAGGAAGAGGAAGCGAGGCGTCACTTGCAGCCAAAGTGGCAGATGAGCTCTGACTGTCAAGAGAAACCGAAGTTTGTTTCCTTCTGGTGGTGGCGGTGGTGGTTTTGGTGAAAGTGGTCATGCTCTCTGAGCGTGCAGCGTGAGTTGTATCCCCGCCGCTGTTTTGTACGAATATCTCGTCTCATTCCTTTGTGCTGCCGGGTTGTTTGTGTTTTCTCCAACGAACTGTCATTTATTATGACTTTCCCCACTCCACCCCCCGCTTTTTCTTTATAATAATGACAATATTTATTATTATTCTTATTATTATTACTACTTTTCTTTTCTTTGTTCTATTGACATACCGTTTTCAGCGCATAAAAAAATGCCCGGCAAGGAAGTGAAAAAGGCCGCCAAGCCCGCTCCCAAGACTGCTGCAAAGCCAGCCGCGAAGCCAGCCGCGAAGCCAGCCGCGAAGACTGCTGCGAAGCCGGTCGCGAAGACTGCTGCCAAGCCGGTCGCGAAGACTGCTGCCAAGCCCGCTAAGAAGCCCACTGTGAAGCCCGCTGTCAAGCCTGCTGCCAAGGCAGCCGCGCCCTACAAGAAGCCTGCGGCCACCTCATCTTTTGTGGCGCGGCCGAAAAACTTTGGTATTGGCCACGATGTTCCGTACGCCCGTGATCTTTCTCGCTTCATGCGGTGGCCCACGTTTGTGACGATGCAGCGGAAGAAGCGTGTGCTGCAGCGCCGTCTGAAGGTGCCGCCTGCGCTCCACCAATTTACGAAGGTGCTTGACCGCTCCAGTCGCAACGAGCTGCTGAAGCTGGTGAAGAAGTATCCTTCCGAGACGCGTAGGGCCCGCAGGCAGCGCCTGTTTGACGTGGCGACTGAGAAGAAGAAGAATCCAGAGGCGGCGTCCAAGAAGGCTCCGCTCAGCGTCGTTACCGGTCTGCAGGAGGTAACCCGCACCATTGAGAAGAAGACCGCACGCCTTGTGATGATCGCGAACAATGTGGACCCCATTGAGCTGGTGCTGTGGATGCCGACTTTGTGCCGTGCCAACAAAGTCCCATACGCGATTGTGAAGGACAAGGCACGTCTCGGCGACGCGGTGGGCCAGAAGACCGCCACGTGCGTTGCAATCACCGATGTGAATGCCGAGGACGAAGCCGCTTTGAAGAATCTCATCCGCTCTGTGAATGCACGCTTCCTGGCCCGTAGCGACGTTATCCGTCGCCAATGGGGAGGCCTGCAGCTCTCACTGCGTTCTCGAGCCGAGCTGCGCAAGAAGCGTGCCCGCAACGCCGGCAAGGATGCTGCCGCCGTAATGTGAGGAGAGAATGATCACTTCTGGGTATTTCCTTTTTTAACTGCGCCTTATTTTCTGATTTTTCTTTCTGTTTTTATTTTAATCTCTGGCACGTGTTTGGGGATTCGTTAATCTTTTCTTCCTTTTTTATGCCCATGCTGGGGGGAAAAGTGATTTCTTTTTCTTTTGCATTGCAGTGGTATATTATTGCGCGGTGTTTTTTTTTCTTCTTTTTGCTTCGGGTGTGCAGCGGCATGATAAGCTGTCTCTTGTGAGAAAGAGAGAGTGAGGACGCAAAGCACAAGGGAAACACACACACAAAAAAAAAGCAACGGGAAGGGGTGAGGGGTGAGTTGAACGTCGCATTTTTTCACATTGCGATAGGGGCAGGAAGCGAGAAGGGAGGCCACCCGTACAAAACTGAAGGTTGCCGAACTGCATCCTACACGCGTTGGTAAGAAGCGTGACCCTTTGTTTTCGCCGATATAATTGTCGTAGAAAGATATATTTTCTTTAGCGCGTAGTACGGAGAAGCTGCTATGGCTAGTGCTCTCGATACATTAGCGGAGGACGTCCAAGAGACGTTAAAACGGCTTTCTAGGGCGACGGAAGCCGTCGTCATTGCTGACGCACTGTCAGAGAAGAAGGCCGCAGAAATGGCAGCGCGTCCAATCATGCGAGAGGCCCGTGGCAAAATAAGTATTCTGCGTGCTGAGGTGCGTCGAACGCAGGACCAGGTGACGCGGGCCCAGTACGAAAATGTATGCCGCGATGCGGATGAGTTGGTTCGTTCTTTGGATGCCGAGATGAAACGACAGATTTACCCACAGCGCCCCGCGACACGGGCCAAGACATACACGGAGCGGAAAGAGGAAGAGTTGTTGGGAGTTGGCGGGTCAGATGGGAAGGGCTTTAAGGACTCTGAACAAGTGCTTCAGGCAGCTGTAAATGTGCAGAATGACGCGTTACTTTCACTAGGGCGGGCGGAGCGACTGCAGCACATGACGGAGGAATCAGGACGTGAAACACACCAAACGCTGCACCGACAGACAACGGAGATTTATCAAATAGACGAAGAGCTTCAGAACCTGCAGGGGGGGCTTGATCGAGTGTCACGTGAAGTGAAGTGGTTCTATCGACAGTTGGCTGGTGATCGGTGTTTTGTTTCGCTTTTTGGCATATGTGTCGTGGCGCTGGCAGTGCTGGTTTTTGTGATGTTGTACAAGAAACGTCACAAGTGAGTGACGTTATATAAATTACTGGCGTGTTGTTTTTATTTTTCGTTCTGCTCCTTCCCATTTTTGTTCCTGAAACAAAAACAGTCACGTGTCTGTTGGGATCAAATGGAAAGGGAGAGAAAGTTTGGTGGACTGCCTTGGTTGTTTGTGTTTTATTTGCTTCTTTCGCCTTCTTTTTTATTTCTTGTACGATAATTATTTGAGAGTATAAATATCGTTCATTTCTTGTGCGGAGCGATGTACCTGTTATTTACATTTCCTATTGACCCTTTCCCGCCTTTTTTTTTTCTTTGTTATTATTATTATTGTGTTAAATGTTCTGTTGCTTAGCCGTTTCCTCTTCCTGCAGTTTCTTCTCTCTGCGTGGTCGGAGAGACGAGAAGGCGAGGGGCGAGGGAGCATAAGAACACGCGGGAGGAGGAGGTGGTGGTGGGGCGCACCGCTCCGGTGTGACTGTGCGTGTCTGTCTCGCGGGTGAGGCGAGGGTGTGAGGGAAAGTAAAAATTGGGGGAGGGGGGAGGAGGGGGGGAGAGCCGACGGAAGGGGGAACAAGGCGAAGAGAGCAAAGGGAAAAGAAAGGGCGGGGTGGAAGAAGAAAAGGAAGAAGGACGGAGAACAAACAAACAAACAACCGGTTGGGGAGGGGTGTGAAGAGAACAGCGAGGACGCGCCACCCTTCATTTGTTGGTTTGTTCGTTTTTATCTCTCTTCTGTTTATTATTTTCGTCGTTGGGCATAATCACGCATGGGAAATAACGATCAACCGTCTCTGTCACGAGGCGAGCACATGGAAGGCGATGACAACTCCACCCCTCCTGTAGGAGACGTTTTGATGCCTGAGGATTATTACGTTTCAGTGGAGAATATACAACTGCTCTGGCTGAGCAAAACCATCGGCCGCACACTTATTGCTCCACTCGACCGTGTGAAGTTCATCCTGCAGTGCCAAGGGGAATTGCGGCGTTTAGGAACATTAGATGGATCTTTTAGCGGGGCGTGGCATTGTATGCGTCACCTAGCAGCTGTTGAGGGCTGGCGTAGTTTTTGGCGGGGGAATCTGATTCAGGTGGTTTCCCTGCTACCAATTACAATTGCACAGATTTTTATTGCGCTTCCAACGCAAACTTTTGTGTTTAACGCATTTGCGCATCATTCGGCGTTGACTTACACCTTTTCGTTCTACGCCGCACACATCTGTGGTGCGCTTGCGGCTTCAATGGTTTCTTACCCGCTTGACTTTGCGCGATTTCGTCTTGCAGTCGATATTAAACCTTTCCGCGGTGCGTCGTACGAGTATCGCCACAGTTTGGCGTTTTTTTCTCACCCTGTACTGAGTGAATCTCCACATCTTCTCTACAAGGGTTTAGGACTTTATGTGTTTGGCAGTCTGCTGTACCAGACGGTTCACAGTGGTATTCTAAACATTGTGGAGCCATTTGTCCTTCCCGAGACGTCTGACAGTGGCTACGGCGCAATAGCAGCGCAAATAGGGACAGGACTCACGGTATCGGCGCTCTCAACACTTTGTCTTCACCCCATCGACACCGTGAGGCGGCGCATGATGATAGCGGCAACGGAAGACGATCTCCGTTATTCTTCGAGTATGCATTGTGTGCGCCACATCATGCGGACAGAGGGACCGGTGGGTTTGTACCGCGGGGCTTTTTTTTCCCTGGTACGAATGGTGGTCACCACCACATTGTTCACGCTAGGAAGCATTGCCAATTGAGGGACAGTGTATCGTACAGAGGGGAGGGCGCACCAAAGGATTTGGGAGAGGATTAGGCGAGGGTAGGGGCAGAGTGGTGTTTTTTTTCTTCTTTATTATTATTATTATTATTATTCTGTCTGTGTCATTTTCTCTATTTGAGGCAAGAGAAATGACTTTCTTAGTGGATATGTTGTGGATGTTACTTTATCACATACTTTGCAAGCCGGATAGGTGAACTTGTAAACACGAAGGGGAACGACATTAGCAAGAAGCAACAGAGGTACGAGGGGAAAATACAAAGGAAAAAAAGAAAAAAAAAAAGAAAGAGGAACCAAAAAGAAAGAGGAGACGAATTGCATGAGGCTTCTTGGTGTGGCAGAACTGAAGGGAGGTGCGTGAATGCGTGTGATTGTATATGAGGGATAGAGAGAGGCAGATAGGGGGATATATATAGAGAGGGAGAGCGAGGACAATTGAGATTGGGATTTTTATGACGGCTTGCCGGTAATTTCCTTTTGCTGACGAGTCATGAGCGTTTTGAGGGGCGGCGAAGGCGTTTGACGCTTCTCCGCCCTTTTTTTTTTCTGTTATGATTTTTGTGTGGTGCATTTTGTGTGCACGAGGGCGTCTGTATGTTTTTTTTTTTTTGTTTGTTACTCGTACTTCTCCGTGTCTTTTTTTCCTCTCCCTCCGTGCCTGTGTATTTTTTTGTTGCTGCCGCTGCCGCTCCTGGTGGCGGTGGTGGTGGTGGGATGATTGGTCCACTTTACTCCCTTTTCTGTTTTCTTTTCATTTTTTTTTTTTTTTCTTTCCTTTGGGATTTGAGGTGATATTTTCTTCTTGTTTCTATGATTCTCTTTCTCGCACTCTGAGCTACCGGAAGTGGATGGCTCTCCCTGTTCCTCTCTCTCTCTCTCTCTCTCACTTTTTCTCCCGTTTGCATGTATCTCTTTCTTTCTCTCTCATTCCGTGTGTCTGTCTGTCTGTCTGTCTGTGCGGATACGCCAGGGGCCATCATGAAAAACAGTCGAGAAGACCACAACAAATTAGGGCGATTTTTTGTGCGGTAGAAAGGGGTGGGGAGCAGCCATCACATGTGCATGCATGATGACAGGACTTGGTCCATCTCACTGCTGCCGGGGCGAGAGGGGCTTCAGGAAGTCCCCCTGCCGTCTTTTCCCCGCAGCATCTGATAAATGACCCTTCTTTTGTCTTTCTTTCTTTCTTTTTCTCTCTACCTTGTGTTATTATTATTGTTATTATTTTTTTTGTTTCCTTGAATTGTGCCCCAGCCTTTTTTTTTTCTTTTTGATCTTTTTTTTTTTTTTTTTTGCCGCGCATGCACGAACCCCTTCGATTTCGACAGGAAACACATTTTTTTTGCTGCTTCTGCTGCCCTGTCTGTTTTTCAGCCACATCGTACGGCTCTGCCACTGCCCGGTGTGCGGGTGCTTCCAGCCCTTGGTCCCAGCCAGTGGATTTGTCGGGGTACCAGCGGGAGAGAGAGAGAGAGAGGAGGAGGAGATAACAAAAAAGAAAAGGAATGAAAGCGAAAAGGAAACGAGAAAAAAGCAACAACATCCAAAAAAAAAAAAAAAAGAAAAGAAAAAAAAAGGGAATAATAACAAACATTCAGAGGCGTCGAGGAACAGGCGAGAGGGAGAGCGGGTGGCTCAGCAAACCAAACCGACACGCGGACAGGCCTATTTTTTTTTTGGTCTGCCACTCTCCATTTTCATTACAATTTCCTTCTTGGCATGTGTGCGTGTGTTTTGGCTTTGTCCAGTTTTTTGTTTGTTTGCTTCTTTCAAAGGAAAAATCTTTCTTTTCTTCCCTTTTCCCACGCATTCACTTCTTTCCCTTTTGGTTTCTACTGTGAGGGGGAATTGGCAGACGAAGGTGTGTGGGGTGGTACTCACGCGCAAAAGATGAGCTGGAGGCAGCGCACACCGCATGGCCGCTCCGCGGAGGTGGAGGACTCCATTCAGTACCTGCAGCGCTACTTTGATGATGCGGAGCCCGATAAACGACGGCCCCAGTTGTTTTCTCCTACAAAGGAGGGCGGTGTTGTGGCTGCGGGCGTGCTGCCGGCTTCCGCGGCTCGTAGGGAGAGGTGGGCGGGATACACACGAGGGGCGGCATCCCCGGGCAAAATAAATGACCAATCACTGAGGTCGACACGTAAGTCGGAACGTGGCATCAGCAGCAGCAGAATGAGCATCAGCTATAACAGACCATCCCCTCTGCGTGGTGAGGGGCCTTTGCGCAACGAGCGGTCTCCCCCGATACGCGGAGAGAGAACTCGGGCTACAAATTTGTCTTTTTATGAGCCACTAAGTCTGCGCTACGGCTACACCACCAACACCCCTGTTGGACGGCCACCGTTGCATCACCAACAAAATGTAATTCGGGGTGGGACTGTGGCACAAAAAGGTGCATCCAGTGGCGGGTTGGGCGGCTTTTCACCACGCCGTGATGATTTAAATGTTAGATATTGGCAGCATGATGGAAAAAACGCTCGCCAAAGGCATCCGGAGAGTGCCGTGAGTCACGGAAGATGGATGCACGACGATCCGGACAGCACGTTAGACATTGAAAACGCAGAGAAATCGCGGTACATGTACTCCCCGCGCCGTCGTCACTCATACCAAAAGGAGGGATTGCTGGATGAAAGCAAAAATTATGATGATAATGAAGAGAGTGAGGAAGAGGAAGAAGAAAAACAAAAGCGGAGGAAGAAATTACCGCCGTCAAATCGCGTCTATACAAGAGGAGAGGGGAACGGTGGGGAGCGGCATCGCACCACGGGGGATGATCATGCCCCTGAGGGTGGGGTGAACGCACCCACGGCAGAAGTTACGAGCCACAGCATGCGTCACGCTAAGTGGAATGAACTTCCAAGACCTTTAGAGAAAAGGCCTGAGGAGGCGGCACGCCCACAGGATGTATTTCCGTATCCCAAACACGAGGACAACCTGCGATCGATGCTTTTTTATTTGAAAAATTACTACGCACTGGAACCTGAGGAGTCTCTTCGTGGCATTGAGACGATGACACCGGAGGACGTGCTGGGTCTTGTACAGTGTTTCTACGTTGATGCCTACCGTGTCGTGCGACACGCGAGGGACGTTGCAGGCGTTGGTCGTGCCGGGTTTACTGACAAGGATCCCCCGATGGAGTGTGTGATGGGATTGGCCAGCGATGGTGAATTGACAATGAGAACGAAGGATGAAACTGAGGATGGGGTCGCGGTGGCGGAGATGGCACCACCTCGACAGCCATCACCACCGCCCGAAATTGTGAACCACTCCCTTGCGTCCCGACGACCCCCTTCGCAGGAATATCGACGACAAGGTGCAGCAATGATCAGCGGTAGCAGTGGAGGAGGAGGAGGCGGAGGAGGGTGTGTCGCTCGAACTCCACTCGGTCGTCCTTATACACCACAGTCCCATGCGAGGTTGGAGCATCCGACGCTTGATGGAGCCAACACCAGTTTTCTTACCGATGGCACATTGCTCTCTGTGGTGCCTCCTCAAGAACCCAGCAGCGGTATCATTAAACGACCATTGAAGGAACTCATGCCAATTTTGCGTTCTGGATCGACGCTTTGCAAGCATGTGGAGAACGGCCGTCCGCACACGCGTTTCTTCCGTGTGGAGGATTATCTTGGAGAACATCGTGGCGAGGAGGCGCTTATGCCGCACTTGGTGTGGTATCCCACCGCGACGGATCGAAAGCCCAGTGAGGCTTTAAAGCTTCTCAGCCTACTGGGCGTTCATCTTCTCACCTCGGATGCTGGCGGCGCATTCCGAAAACTGTTTCGGCGCAGTAGGGGGGTTGTCCTTGACCACAGCCGACGTCCGGTATCTGATGGCATGTGTGTTGTCTTTCGGTTTGAGAAGCGCGATGTGGCGGTTTCGTTCTTGACAGAGGCGGACCGACAGCTTTGGGTGGGCGGCATGATGGGCGTGGTGGAGAAGAACATGCAGATGGCCTCCCGCTTGCATCAGTAGCGCGCCTTAGAACTCAGGCGGGAAAGGAAGAACGAAAGGCAAAGGAGGAAGAAGGCTCCATAGAATTATATTTGTGCAGCAATTCAATTTCCATGTTTTGTGACGCCGCACTCTCCTGGCAAACTGCTGCTGCCGTCTCTGCTTTTAATGGTGGTGGGCAATGAGAAAAGGAGGAGAATTGGGGCGGCAGGACGAGTTATTTACATTCCTATTTGTCCTTCTTGTCTTTACACCTGGCAATGCGCCTTACCTTTTACAAAACTTTTTTCTTTTCTTCTTCTTTCTTCTTTTTTTTGGCAAAGTTTTGTTTTTTTATCTTTTTTTTGCTGCTTGCTTCACCAATTCCAAGAGCGGTGCGCGGGGGTTTGCTGGACTGCCACATTTCTCACCGTCATCTGCGGCTCGGCTGACTGTGAACGAAGAAGAATTAGTCCATTGAGAAGACAGAGAGCGAGGGGGGAACGTGAGGGAGGGGAGTACCACATCGACGACGACACGGAAACACACATACACGTGGGCCGAGTTGAGTGGAAATAAGAGGAAGGATCGTCTTCTGCATTCATAAAATTCATTGCTGAGTGTGTGTGCCGGTGGCGGGGCGGGAGTGTGGTGTGCATCATACATTATAATTTCCCCCTTTTTCCCTTGGCGTGGCAAACCTGTCAGCTGTGCACGACGGGGGGGGGAAACGAAAAAAGAAAATAAGGAAAGCGAGTGAGAGAGAGAGAGAGAGAGAGAGAGAGAGAGAAACAGCAATAAGGATCACCACCACAAGAAAAAAAAAAAGGGACAGAGGACAAACAGTGAGAGTCACGAGGAGGGGGGGGGGGGACGGGTGGCAGCGCGCACAGAAGAACAGTGCATTTGTCATTTTAAATTATACAACACAGAAGGGAGAGATTGAAAAATAAAAAGAAGAAAAGGAAGGAAAAGGAAAGGAAGGAAGTATATTACCCTCACACACAAACATACATATAAATACATACATACATTACACCCGTGCTTAAGGATAGAGAATAGCGGCAGGCGCAGTTTGGGCACGCTGAGGAATTGTATAATTAGAAACGCAAAATTTATAGGCCGACGGAAAGAGGGGTGAAGCGTGCTTGTCACAATTTGTATTTCTAAGCCCTTTTGTTCATTTTCCTGCCTGAATCATTAAACGGACAGGGCTGTAAGAAAAATACCGTTGCACCAATTAAATAGGGAGCGAGAAGGAGAGAACATAAGAAAAGAAAGGAAAAAAAAAGCACTTGCGTATACATAGAGCGCAAGGCAGGAAAGGCAAAAAAAAAAAAAGAGGGAAACCAGTTATCAGGGGAACAGATGAGTACACTCAGTTCATTGACAGCACCGCTCCTCCTTCGCCAGAGATGCAGGGAAAATGCGAATGCGGTGACTGACGATAGGGAAAGGGATGACACATCTGCTTCCATCGTTCTTTACTCGTTTCCCGAGGACTTTATAAGCTGTATGTGTGGCAACGCCCCGCAATCGTGTGGATTTGACCGAATATCAAGGATAGGGGATTCAGTATTGGACACACAGGCAAGCGACATTGCATCTTCTCCGCTTCGTCTCCCACATGAATGGACGTTCGCATCTTCTCCTTTTCCAGACACTGCGATGGGTTGGCATGCCGTTAGAACGAATCGTCTTGACTATGTTTTGCAGATGTGGAGCCAAATGACTGCACATCTTCTCTCTCCCAGCATGAATAAAGGAATGGGTGTCAGTTTTTTTCCAGCACGACTTCCAAATTGTATTGTGCCTTGTTTGAATGACCACAGCTGCAACAGCACTTATCATGAGGTGCGTGCACACATTCCGATTCACCTTGTTCATTCGCCTTTTCTGGACGATGGCGGTGTTGGAAATAATGTAGAGGATCTTGATACACTGATGAAGTTTTCAACCTCTCGCCTTATGTATTCACGGCGACTTCGCTCGCTTATTCACGATGGAGTCATGAGTTTTATGTCGGTTTCCGTGCGTTGTGTTCCGACTTTAACCCGTGATGAACTCCTGCAAGCCGAAAGCACCGGCACATTTGTTGGAGACGGCAGTAAAGATGAAGACACGTTGGACTGCACATGCAGCTGCAGAACGATGAATTTTAAACCTATTCATCATCTTCTGCTGCCACCATGTACTGCATTAGAACCGCCCACACCCATTGTGCTTACCCTGAGGATTGAAAACTATGACAAGCCTCTTGAAGCTGACAAGGAGGATGAAAGCAAAACATCCACAGGAGAAGGTGTAAGAGAAGAAGAAGTTAAACTTTCAATCCATGCGGTTGTCCGTGTCACACGTACCCGTGCCGGTGATGCGCTGCGTTGGAAGCCAGAGATGTTGGCGTTTGAGTCTCTGACATCTCTCTTTCCTATGCGGTTTGCTGTCTTGGGTGCAAGTGCCATAGAGGTGGGCGAGATTGGTGTGGATGGCCGTGTCCCCGCCTGGGTTCAACGCACTGGTTTGGAGGTGTTTAGGGCGTGGCAGCAGCTGCGGGACACTTGGGACCGATTGCCGCCATCACCAAAGCCCCTCCCACCTCGAATTTTAACCGCAACGCCATCCGGCAGTGTGAAGACACAACATGATCCCTACGGCGTGCTGACGCAGAGCCCAACCTCTCACGAGTCTCACACTATGGGGAGTCGGAACCCTGAGAGCATGGAGGAGGGGGAAGAAAATCGTAGCGTGAGTGGGGATCTTGAATGCAATGGCAGCAATCTTTTTCTGCATAAAATGGACAGAGTTCTTGATCCCTTGACGGAATCGCCAGAAACGACTGGTGTGGAGGTGGCAGGGACGTCAGTGGTAGGGGAGGAGGAGGAGGGAGAAGAAGAATTAGTCATGGATGAGACAAAGCACGCTATTTTGTCGCTGGCGCAAGATCTTTCAGAATGTAGACGACGGGGCACAGAGACGCTGCAGGCAGTTCAGTGCCAGTTATTCTCTCTTTTGTCTCCGCTTGCCTCCGAGAAGCAGATAACATCATGTCGCAGGAAAAATCGGGGAACCAAATACGGGAATGAGAAGGAAACAGGAGCTTTGAATTTTTTCTGTTTATTTTTTGGAACAATTGCGGAGGCCGAGAACGGGGATGAAATACTGCAGCAAGCCATAACAACATTGTCAAATCGTTGCCATGGCCCCAATAACACTTACGCCACGTTTGACGAGTGCGTCAAGGACGCGGCAGAGATGATCCAAGAACTGGAAAGCCGCTTGCGTGCCGAGCCCTTTGTGATTATGAGCGTGCGTCAGCATCATAGCAAGAACAGTATAAATGGAGGTGCGGCCGCAAAAAATGGGCGGAAACGAAAGGACGGCGTCTCCCTCTTCGCAGCCGCAGCGAAATGCCTGGCTACGGGAAATAACAGGCCCTCCGGAGCGGCGTGTAAAAGATCATTTGGTAAGAGCAACGGGGAAAGCGATGACGCCGTCACTGTCTTGCGATTTTCCTCGTCAGCCATTGTAGGGGCACGCCAGGCCATAGGGGACACGCTAGAGAAGTTGCGGATGGCGGTCGCATGGGGGCGTCAACGGGTGATGGACATAAACTTCATCTTCAAAGTATGTCAAGAGGTCATTGTCCCCTGTGTGGAGGCCCACACAGCCCTCGCGAAGGCGGAGCAGAAGGAGCGCGCACAGTTGCAGACGGATCACCTGCTGTGCTTGGCGATCGCCCGGGAGGCAATTAGCGCAGTGCACAATGCGACCGGCAGGGAGGGGGAAAAGGTGGTGATAGTGGGAGAGGAAAAAACGGAAGAGGGGGAAGAAAAGAAAAAGACGCTCGAGGATGCAGCTGGGGCTCGGGCTTTAAACGGTGCGATTAGGACATGTAATGAGGATACTCCCGGGGTGGTAACTGCAGGGTTTGAAAAACAGGATGAGGAGGTGAAAACGGGACGGAATGAATGTACGGATGGGTTGAAGCAGACATCGGCGACGGACGCAGCACGTCCCGCCAGCTTTGCTGACCCGTCCGTAGCGATAGCGGCAACAACAAAGAAAAGACGCAAAAACGGTGCCACATCGAATCCTAACCCGCGCCCACAATTGACGGGTTTGCGGGTGCCGGCACCAGTGGTTAATACGCCGCTGAAGAAACGCAAAAATGACGGCAATAGCGGCGTCAAGAAGTCTTTTTTTTCTCCAAAGGAGGCGGCAATACAGATGGGGGTTTTGAACCTGGCCTTTTCTGTTTTCCTTTTCTTATGCGTGTTAGGCGCGATGGCCTTTTTTTTCCCATGAAAAGTAATCTCGCTTTTTTTTCTTTTTTTTTTTTTGCGTTTTTTTTTCTTTTTGCTGTGTCTGTATGGGCTACACGTCGTTTTACATGTGATTTTTTTTTCCATTTTTTTTTTTGTTTGTGTGCGTGTTGGGGAGGGGGAAAGAAGGGGTGGCGTGACGATGTGCGCTGAGGAGGGGCATCAAACGGGCTGCGCGCATCTGCGGATGTAGTTGGCAGTGGGCCGGTG